GGCAGTACGGTTGGGGACGCAACATCTGCTAGTGATTCCAGGCCCCAAAGATGCCAGGTGTGCTGATACCAGGGCCAGGGCTTTTTCGGTGGCGGCTCCTACCTGGTGGAATGAGCTCCCGGAGGAGATCCGGGCCCTGCGGGACCTTGCGCAGCTCTTCCACCAGGCTTTCTAGTAGGAGCCGCCACAACCTCCACCACTACCTCCACCACCACCAACATCGGGGGGTGAGATGGCACTGTGTTAAATGAACGACAGCACTGCGTGGATCTGATACCACTGAACTGGGACTGCTATCCCCAGGAAGCCATCTTGTTACTGAAGACTTTCCTGAAACATCCTGAGCACTTTGTATTGTTGTAATTGATTGATTGTTTTATCTTGTTTTTAATTGTTTTAACTATTGGCTTATATGCCCTATCTGTGAGCCGCCCTGAGCCCGCTTGCGGAGAGGGCGGGCTATAAATTTAATATTAAATACATATAAATAAATAAATAAATAAATACACTAGTACAGCAATTATTACCTGTGCACAATACAGTGAAGTGATTAGATACAGATACAGTCATGAAGAATATTCACATGCGGTGTGAAACACAGAGGCTTTTGTAAATGGTGTGTGAAACCGAAGGCCAAGCAGGAGTAGGTGTCCGAGTCCAGTTTTTCTTACTGAACAACTGCCTGTCACTGGCATAGGTTTACTGTGTCTGTCTTAACATTCAGCTTTGCTTCTTGAAACATGCAGCCAAATCTGGGTGGAAAATACCTGGGGAAAGGGAGCATTAGAACTGAAATGGCCTCCCTTTGAAAGACTGTACCTACAGATTCAGGGCCCAGGGTAGTTCGAAGCATGTTGTCTGTGTTTGTCGGTGGTGCTGAACCACTTCTGATCCTCTAGGTGTATCCCAGCATTCACTCTGAAAAGGTCTAGAGGTATAGTTCAAGGCTGAGGCCTGAGAAATGTGGTAGAATGGCTGTGCTGTAAACCTCTTTAATTTCAGATCCTTTCCGGTGTTTTCATATCATGGTGGTTTCATTACCCCTGGTAATTTCACAACATTCTTTGTTTTCACTTTGGTGACTGCTGGAGATAATTCCTACTTTAGGGTTTGGAAAGGGGGGTAGGAAGGAGACTGAGGCAGTCTTATATATTATCCACTCACTAACAACAGAATCCTTCTGTGGTGTATCAGGCTTGGAATCGTTCTCTGCCTCCATTCCCTAGCCTTTTCTACAGTGGAAAACAGTCCATCTCTGGAACAGTGTCAGAATAAGAGTAAGGAGAGTTAGAGATCTTTATATAATCCAGTCAGTTGTGACACTTTAAATAATAAATGAAAGAAGAAGTTCAGGTTAGTTTATTTCCTTTTGCAATGTTTCTTTGGTAATGTCTGAAGAAGAACCTGTAGGCTGGAGTATGCACAACCTGTTTCACATCCAGAACTTCTGCATTTTGCTCCATTCAGGTTCCTTCTTTTGTAATTCTGTACAGGAGTATGGTAAGAGGTAGCACTCTGAAGCTGCACGGTCCAACACTACACTTAATCCAAGTCAGGTGTCTTCCTTGAGCTAGGGTTAGAAATTCTTCTAAGTATCCACACTGTACGGTATAGCAAATTGGTCATGAATAGCAACGTTTTAAAAACAACATAAGTTACAAAATAAACTTGGGAGCTTGCTGCAGGCGAGACCCAGAGAGGCAGTGATAAATGTGTAAAGTCACTGCTAGCCTCGGTGAGATCTAAGGCTGCTTCAGTCGATAACTGTAGCCTCAGGTGGAGACTTTCATTGCAATAGACTGCTGAGACTCACATGAGGTTTCGAAGCACAATGAGGGCTTTTCAGTCAAGTCCTTTCATACTTGGCTGCAAGTAAGCATGATAAATGGGAGGAAAACCACCACCCCTTCCTTTGGGTGTCAGTAGAAGCGGAAGTGCTTGCTGGAAACTTTGGTATCACAGACTGGCCGGCTGTATGAGCTGTTTCGATAGGAGATCTTGTCGTGCTGGTTTAGGGGAGGGAGGGAAGGAACCTGATTTTGAAGAAACTGGAGGAGGCAGGCTTTATCAGGGTATTGCTAGGCAGCCTACATGTTCAGACTCAGCTTTTATGAATAAAACCCTTGTCATTATTTTCTTTGGTGTCAGCACAGATTGGCAGGGCATAAGGCAATCAGTATAGCTCTACTTTTGTGACTTCCCCTTCTGCTGTTCATCACACCCATGCTTCTTAGCCAGTTGTCTGCCCAAAACCATGTGCATGCCCTTTTTTCTTCCTTGAAAGTCCCTCATATTTTTTTACATCTTGGGGGGGGGCATCTTGGGGAATATGGGGGAGATCTTGAGCAGATGGATGGTTGCAAAGGGAATAAGCAGCATCCCCTGCAGATACGTTGTAAGATTAAGACCTGAGGGAGGGGGGTTGGGAGGGAATCTAGAAGTACACTAGTGCTCAAATTAAATCTGATATTATTCTTCTCACCCTTAGAAGCACTGAAAATGTTCATCTTGGTTTGTTGCAATGGGACTCCTTGTTGCACTTTGCTGCCTTTTCGCGGTGGTATATAATGCCTAAGAACATAAGAGAGGCCTTACTGAATTAGACCACTGGCTTTCATTCTGTTTCCATCATGGTTTATCCAAGTGACTTTGGAGGTCGCCAATGAGGGCATGAGAGCAGAAACTTGGTTGTATGTCACATGTCTTTGGTTATATTGCTCCTGGCCATGCAGGTTGTCCTTTGAGGTATCTTGTGGTCTTTGATATAAATTGAAATAGTAAAATAAAATAGACCTGTCCTCCATTATATCTGGCTTTACAAAGAAATAAAATTGCTTTGTAATGGTGAATTCCAGAAGTTAATTATGTGTTGTATGAGAAGAAGAAGAAGAGATTGGATTTATACCCCGCCCTTCACTACCCAAAGGTATCTCAGAGCGGCTTAGAAACTCCTTTCCCTTCCCCTCCCCACAACAGACACCCTATGAGGTAGGTGGGGCTGAGAGAGCTCTGACAGAAACTGCTCTTTTTCAAGAACAGCTCTTATCAGAACTACGGCTTGCCCAAGGTCATCCAGCCAGGTGCGAATGGAGGAGTGGGGAATCAAACCCGGTTTTCCCAGATTAGAGTCCGCGCACCTAACCACTACACCAAACTGGCTCTTCATGACCTTATGTGTGAGTTAAGCAGAGGAGAAAATGCGGTTTATTAGTATCCCTCCTAACAAAACTCAATTCAGTATCTGTACTGGGTTTAACTTTTGAGATAATGTCATTTTCCATCAGACAAAATAGCTGTTTTGCTAAGTGGATTTAGAATTAGTGTTGATGCTAGATTTTGCATTACAGCCAACTGGACAAAGAGAATAATTATAGTTTTTCAAATCAAAATTAACCTATAAAACAGCAGGGAAATTCTAATGTTTATGTAGGCTGCAATCAGACGAGCTGTTAAATTTGTTATCATTACTCCTCCCAAACAGATTTGAATTGCATGATCAGATGGCAACATCTGTATTCTGATTGTCAGCTCCCCTGTACTTGACTTACCTGACACTGGATAAAGTCCTATATTTACTGCTCATGCCGGTTTCAAAGCGCATCTCCGGATGTCTTATTACTGTCTCGTGAAGTCAAGCCATTTGGGAAATCAGATCACTCACTTCCATCTTCACCACCGTTTTATTTTTTTGCAGTTAGCAATGTGTGCATCGGCAGATAGCTGCCTGCTCCATTTCCCCATCCACAGTATTTCAGCTCAGCCAGGGCCCCCTCCCCATTTTTTTGGCGATTGAGGACTCGGCTGGCAGGGCTCAGGTGAGGCGGGGACGTAGCCTCAGTCCAAAGGCTAGCCCCTGTTGCTGAGTCAGGGTGGATGGTCTTAAGGACAACAGTGGCAGTGGTGGGGCCCCTGGGGGCAGCCAGGAAAGGAACTAACCCCCTTCACCCTCCCTGGCAGCGAGGCATTGGATGTGTCGGGGATTGCAGCGTGGTGTGTGTGTGTGTAGAAATCAAAACTGGGGAAAAAGTCCCACCATCCGCTCCATGGTTGCAGTTGGGTAGGGGTGGGATGTCTGATCCAACCACTCCAGAACTAAAAAATTCCAATTAAATTAGAAACGTGGCCACAACAGGATAAGCACACCATCTGATCGCAGCCATAGATAAATTTGTGGGGAAATGGCCTTTATTATGTTTTGGAACAACAAATTTCAAGACAGGATATTTTCTCATGTCTTTTTAAAAACTTTGGAAAATGTTTGATATTATGGTGTTACATATAGGAACATATTTGAAACTGCCTTATATGGAATCAGTCCACCAAGGTTAGTATTGTCTATTCAAACTGGCAGTGGCTCTCCAGGTTTCAGGCAGAGGTTTTTCACATCACCTACTGCCTGGTCTTTTCAAGTGGAAATGCTGGGGATTGAACCTGGGACCTTCTGTATGTTAAGCAGATGCTCTATGTCTGAGCCACGCGTACAGTGATTTCTAACTGAAAATAATAAAGTTCAGAAGCATGTATTGGTATCGCAGTTACACAGAGTATTGAACAACCACTTTCCAGAACTTGTCTAGTTGTTCTATCTGTATTGAACATTTATCTGTGGAAGGGCTATTGGGGAATTTTGGAAAGTGGTAAACTGTACTCAGATTTTATTCTGATTGCTGGTGTACTGTTTCCTTCCAGGCAGATGTTGTTGTGGAGAAGAAGATTGGTGATATGTGGCTAAAAGTGCCCTGTGTGGACGACGTTGGGAGCTGTACCTACAGTAATGTTTGTGCCGACCTGGATATGCTTATCCCTCCAGGCCAGCCATGTCCAGAACCCATGCGGTCTTACGGCATTCCTTGCCATTGCCCCTTTAAAGCGGTAAGTTCACTCCTCAGCCTTTTGTGCTTGGGAACCAAAACCAAACAGACTTGGGACTGTAGGCTACTTGCAGAGGCTGTGAGAAGATAAAAGTGGGTGCCTCCATGGTGTATTGGGCTAAGGGTACCATCAGATTTCACCAGAAGCAGAATTTAGCTTGAAATGTGCAGTTGTATTAAAGCAGAAAAATGTTTCATAACAGCTGAACAACTTACCAAAATCTTCAGTTTCCACTCAAATCTGTTGCAGCTTTGTTTATCTAGAAAGGGTTCACATGTTTTAAATTTAACCCTTTTTGTACTTGTATGAGATCATCTCTTTGGATTTTACAAAGCTTGTCATGCAATGCATCTACGAACAAGCTATGCAGGGTGTTTACAAGGAGTGAATACTTGAAGAGATGACAACACAGAAAACTGGCCATTGTTCTAATGGGATATGTTTTCTGCAGAATCTACTGCCTGGGACCAGAAAGATGAATGTCAACATGGAATTTTTTTCATGCAGTTTTTGTAGAACCCTCATTCAGGTCCTGCCCTCAATCCCCACTGTCAATGTTAATTGAAGAAGGACAGCCTGTCAATAGGGTCTCATTCAGATAGCCTGTAAGGTCACCACCCTTAGCAGGATTGGGAATTTCATTCTAACCTGCCTACTACTGCTTTTAGTTTCAGTTGGGTAGTCATGTTAGTCTGTTTTAGCAGAACAAAATTCGAGTTCAGTAGCAAGACCAATAATATTTAGGGTTGCCAGCCGCCAGGTCTGGGTGGGGGGTTCCCCTGCTCCTGGGGGCTTCAATCTGCCCCCGGCTAGCTGGCTGGTGGGGAAAGCCCGCCCCCCAAGTCCTGCCCCCAAAAGCGACCACCTGCCCAGCCACCCCTGTCCTCCTCCTCCTGCCCAATTTAAAAGGCTTCTGCTGATCAGTGGGGACCACATGACCCACCAACCAGCTGGAGGGCCCTTTAAATCTAGCAGGAGGGAGGGAGAGGGGCAAGCTGAGTGTGTGGCCCACGACTGCCCCTCTCCCTCCCTCCCGCTAGATTTAAAGGGCCCTCCAGCTGGTTGGCGGGTCATGTGGGTCCCCACCGATCAGCTGAAGCCCCTTAAATCGGGCAGGAGGAGGAGGACAGGGGTGGCCAGATGGGTGGTTGCTCTTGGGGATGAGGCTTGGGGGCATCCCTGGAACACCCCTCAAATCCCCCCACCCGAGCCGTGAGGGGACCTGGCAACCCTAATAACATTTTACAGTGTATAAACTTTTGTGAGTGAAGGCTCACTTTGTTAGATACAAATAAGAATGAAGATTCATGTAAGCATTTTCTGCGCTCCCCACCTCTTTGTATTTCTCCTTACTCTAATCAAGCTTTGTACTTGTTGCATTATAACTATGATGGTATTTTTGGTGTTAATTGCTAGGGCTGTGAGCTAATGCAATAAAGCTTATGATTGATTAATCTTTGTACCTCTGCATCCTGACTCCAACTGGTCTTTTTTGGTAACACCCCTCCCACATTCTGACCTGGTTATAACGACTGAAGGATCTTCATTTTTAACTTATATCTGACAAAGTGACTCTTCATTCACGAAAGCTTATACTATGCTATTAGGCTTGAATTTTGTTCTATTACTTGTAGAAACAGGATATAGAACTAAGAATAAGGAATTGAAGGCTGTGTATTCCTGCTTCTAAGAATTTGCATATTGAATGCTGCCTGTTGTGTTGCCATCAATATGCTCTGATGGATAAACAGGCATCGAAAGGGGTATTAATTTTTCTTTTTGTGTTTCTGTCCCCTTTCTCAGGGTACTTACAACTTGCCTCCCTCTGATATCTACATACCCAACATGGACTTACCTTCTTTCCTCACCAATGGGGACTACAGGCTAAAGGCTGTACTGAGTAATGGTGGACAAGAGTATGGCTGCGTGAAGCTGTCCTTCTCGCTACATTCGGAGAGTCGGTGGTTCTGGTGGTGATTGCAGCACAGGCATCCCGGTCGTCGAATGTCCTGTTTTCTTCCTACACTTTCTTTCCCGTAGGCGTCCTAGTACTGAGACTTGCTTTCCAGCCTTAAGGGGAAGGGGAATAAATACTGCTTTTATGATTGCTCTTAAATCTCTTAGAGATGCAGCCTAACTCAGTGAAGAAGTATTCATAAGTATTTTTAACAAGAAATTGAGATCTCTATGACCAATCAGTATTCATTCATTGATTCATTCAGTGATTGAGATAAGGGGTGCTTCACAGAAGGTATTTGTCCTACATGGAAACAGAGAAGAAATGTATAATTGTCATATGTGTAGATCATGTAAATGCGTGTATGTGTATTGAGAATGCACTTCCAGGCATATGCATGTTCAGCAAAATAGGTGTGCAATACATAGCATTATGTATGGATTCACCCTACATCGCGGGTTTTCAAATGATGGGGAGGGCCCCAGTGAGGTACTAAAAGGGTATGTATTCCTGAGCAAGCTTGGATTGGATGATGGAGCCACTCAGTTCCTGTTCCTAGAACACCCGAATGAGCTTGATTTCCTCCTTTCCACCTTTGCTAAGCCCCTGCTGGTCTGACTATGGTTCCTTCACCCTCCCTCATATCACATACAAAAAAAAAAAAGGTTGTAATCATTATGGCAGCTGAACCCATTTCAGCCGGCTTCATCTCTTCACTCCCAACTAGACTTGATTGAGTGAAGGAATCTGGAACAAATCTGTGAGAGTAGAAACAGGGAGAAAGATGGAAAACAGAGAACGCTCCTCCTTTAAAAGGTGTTCACTCCTAGGTGTAGATCTTATACTACTTTTTGTACATGACTGTGCATGGAGCACATCTCCATGTGCCTCTCTTTTAAACATACAATTGGTGCTTTGTTGGGAACAGTGGTCCAAAAGATGGAAGAAACTGGGATTGTGGAGAGATTAAAGAGAGACAGAGAAATACGTTGCCTTTTTCTCCCTACATCTATGTATGGGGAATCATGTGTGAAATAGCCCTTATACGCATGTTTAACTTCATTCATTATGCACAAACATTTTGGTAATGATAGTGCATTGGCCTGTATGGAGGTGGCATTTGCCTTTCAAGTCAGCCTCTGGAATCATCAGGAAGTAAATACTCAACATGAAGGTCTCTGCAGGTAATTCTGAATTCTTTTACATTTCATGTGAAAGACTTCCTGGAAATGACCAAATGGTTGTAGAAATGTTGCAGTATATTTGTAGATTATTTGGGTACTACTGGGGAAAGCAGCAGATTTCCAGTAGTATTGGCATTTTCTTTTCTTGTTTAACTAGAGAAGGAAAAATGGCTATTGATCTTTAGTTTCTTAGTCCATTGAAGTCACTGGTCTTAGAAGGGCATACGTCTGCTTAGGATGGCTGATGACTGATTTCACACTCCAGTGGGAGTCCTGAAATAGGCACATTTTCGAAGAGGCACATTCATGACCACTGAGGTAAAGGAGAGAAAATTGAGTGACTTGTGAACTTTCCAAGCTTTATTATTTTGGAGCTCAAGTAATTCTAGGGTTAACCAAGTAATTTGAAGTAATGGATGGAGATGTATAGTTTGTGTACCAGAACTGTGTTCTGTTAGGAGTGGTTGGACTAGGGTTATTTGGGATGCTTGTTAACCATTAAGTTTTGTGGAACAATAAGCAAATTTATTTGATACATGTGCTGCATTGGCAAAAAGCTGTTGTATTTGCTGATCGCACTCTGTTATGGTATTCTGTTATGGTACTCTGTTGTGGTTTGATAAGGTACATAAGGTTATGGTTTGATATGTTATATCTGTTAACGGTATGGTAGGATTCCTGACCAAAGATTAATTCTTATGGTGTGACCATGATTGATAGACATTCAGAGAAATTCTTCCACTAAACATTGTAATTTCAGTACGTTTAGTTCCTCCCATTTCCTCTTCCTCTCAATAAAGCCTTACACTTTTGGATGGTTATCATAGGCTCTACAAGTCCAGTTGAATTTGGACATATGATAACAAGAGTGACCACATACTTTGTCCTGTATTGATTACCTATTATGTTAATGAGCTAAATAGCACCCCTTTCTCTAGTATTATCTCTTCTGGAAGTTTTAGGTATTACACTATCCTAACACTCTTTATTTTGTGCCATTGCACTTAATTTGAGTGGATAGGCTCTCGTGATACTTCATATCCTATGGCCATCTTGTATATCAGACACCCCTTATTCTCCTGCTTCTGCATACCTGACATGCTTCATGTCTTAAATTCTCAACTACATACTACGTGCTCTGTGTTCCACTGTAATCCAGGTAATTGTTATGGCTCATTTTTAAATTGAGGAAATACGTTGATGGGAGGATTGGAGAGTCCAGGATAAGGAGGGACATCATAGTCTGTCTCTCCCCAACTCCTGCCTCATCCTAGGGCTCTAGGGAAACGGCTTCATACCTATCAGTTCCAGAGAAAGATTGGGAGGGCTCCATCTGGAGACCTGATCCTATGATATCCCATTCTGCATACCTATACTTAGGTAGGGTTACTTTGTTTTCTTTGGGTCCCTAAGTTGTAAAATGCTTTTAGCATGCATGAGTCGAGGCTGGAAGTAGCACATGACAAAAAAAATGCCTTTGTCAAGGGGTAGACCATACCCCTCCTGCCCTTTTCATAGCTCTCTTGCTGGACCCATAACTGCTTGCAGAGCATGTGCTGAAGAGCTTCCAAGTCCCCCACATCCATCCTGTGGCACTGACTGCATATGAGGTGTTTTGTTCAAGGCAGCATTGCTTGGCTGCTACTCATCTCATTGCCATTGTGTGCTCCATTCTAAATGGCTGCATGGCAATCTTCAAATACTTTGTAGTACTTTTATGGGACTGTGCTGTTAAAGCATCACAAAAGATTTGCTTGATTTAGTCATTAACACTGTCCTAACAATGGCTATAACCCTATATGGTTATACCAATATATGGAACATGAGGACTATAACTTGTGTACCTATGGAATGTTTTGTTTAGAAGATGACCTTTCATTTTTTCTGATTTACTACATGTAATAGTTGATAATTGATTTATGTTGTTTTCCTTTGCTCTGTGATCTCTCAATTTTTTAACCTAAAATGCTTATGAGAAACTGGTTGATGTTTTTTTGTTGAGGGGTGGGGTTCAGTTTCATGATTTTAAAAGTTGAGGTGCCTTGAGTGCTGGTGCCACAGGGAAACACTGAATAAATCTTTTTATGGATACTTTGTGTTAGTGTCTGGGTTCTTTGTTTCTTGTTTTCTGGAAAGTATTTCACAAGATTACTTAACACATACCACAGCACTGCATTTAGAGGTCAAGAATAATCACACAGAGAAAGAAGCTCTTATGTTCAGAAGACGTCATTTTGAGTTTGGTGCTAGTGTAACTCTGACTATTGCTTATAGATATTCTTCACCCTCTTCTGATACTTTCCCTTTGCAGTAAGAGTCCACAGCTATCACCATTCTTAAGGTAACTCTTAGAGCCATTTTTCTGTTCTTGCCATCAGTATACAACCAGCCTTTATCAAGTTTCTCTAAAGGGTTGTTACTGCTTTTCCGGTGCTTGAGTGAACTCTTGATTGATCAAAGTGAAGCTGCTGTCCTCTGTGCACTTACTTTGGACATCAGACACAGTGGGATTTTATTTGTAAGTAAGCATTACATAGGCTTTAGCTACACATTATAACCAATTCCTAACCTCATATTTTTAAACATGATCCTGAGGCACGTTTTGGTTTTGGGTTGGTTTTTTTTGTTACACTGTTTAGCAAGGCAGAAGCCATTCTTGTTGGTTTCGTTGCAGTTGTGAAGCAGACAACACTTTTGAGATAGCTTCTAAATGCTGCAATCCTATGCCCATGTGCCTGGGAATAAATTCCACTGAACACAGTAGTGTTCCGTTCCAGGTAAACATGCCTAGGACTGAGGTGCCTGACAACTGAAGCTGATCACTTCATGGTTCAATTCATGCAGTTAGTCCCTATTCCTTAGCTATGTTCTTAAGAACAGCTATTTGTCAGTACTGACATAATTGGGAGAAATATGTGTGTCATGATAATACCTGTGGTTCTGGACACATCCATACGGATTGATGCGTTCAAAATTGATGTGGCTAGGATTCTTCATTTGGTTCCATAATCCCTGATGTGAACAACATCATTTTGGCAGTGTCTCTGCAACCCAGGTGCCCCCATCATATGCAAAAGTCTGCCTAACATGCACATTACATGTATGAAGCTATGGTAATTGCCCCTGCCCTTTCACATTGAGCCTCATGACAGGGAAGAGGTGGAGTTTGTCTTGAAGGCTGTACATTGGAAGATTTCTAGTCATTCTGCTTTCACTTTTATCCAGATTGTTTTAAAGTAAATTTATAGCTCATATATTAGATAGCTATTGTCTCAAAGGGAAAAGGCCAAAAGAGATCAGATTGGAAAAATAAACATACTGCTGTTAAACCGCCAGAACCAAATGTGGCATTATAGTAGGACAACTGTGATACAGGGCTAGAGATGAATGATTTGGGAGTGATCAGTGAAGAAACTTCTTGCATTGTGAATTGGAGGGCTTGCCAAGGGAACAACTGGGGCAGGTGGTGGGTGCTGTAGTACACCACTGGAAGCATGGGGTGAGTTTTTCTTCCTGTGGGCACCTGTGCAATGAATACAATTCCCGCTGTGCTAAATTGCACCAGCAGTTCTGATTCCTGTGTCAGCACCAATTTAATCACATAGTAGGCTGCAGCACCCATAATCAGTAGGCTCAGTAGACTAGGTTTGTTCTGTATTTAAAATATAGACGGTCTTGCTACGTGTAGTTCTTGTGTTGGAAGGGCAGGCTACAGTTTTGAGGTAGGCTTCAATTTTCTAACTTTCCAGGCTGGGTGATAAGAATGTAGACTTTTCTAGTGGTTAAAATATGCTGCACCACATTTCAGCTTTATTTTAATAGATGTTCGATATAAACTCTGAATACAGAAATACCGTGTGAACTACCTTAAGAAAGGTGGTGCATCAGTGTGTGGTAGATCAGATTCAAGAAGGGTGTGAGATTGTGGTAGGAAATGAGCTCGCCGCGCCGCCTAGAGAGAAAAACAGCTCCTGTAGCTGAAGGAGAAGCTGTATTAGAAAAGGGAATCTCGGAAGATTCTGCTTGCCCTCACTCCTGTAGGATAAGCTTCGTCAGCCTAAATTCCCTCTGATCTTAGGTCCAGGAGCTCTGTTAGTTGCTGCTTCCGAAGAATTTCTTTCCCGAGCTTGTTCCCCAGCCCTTCAAAACAGCCATGGCGTCGTGTGTGCGTCGTGTGTGAAATGCTGTCAAGTTGCTTCCGACTTTTGGTGACCCTATAAATTTAATAACCTCCAAAAGCGCCCTATTGTTAACAGCCTTGCTCAGCTCTTGCAAACGGAGGGCCGTGGCTCCCTTTACAGAGTCAGTTCATTCCATCCCATGCTGGGTCTCCTGCCTCTTTACCTTCCACTTTTGCGAGCTTTTCCAGCGATTCCTGTCGAGGAGAAAAACACCTTCCGGTGCAAGGCATGCATCGGCCTCAAGATGGCGCTTTAAAAGCAAACGGCTCTTCTCCGGTTCGGTCCCCGCCCTCCCAGAA